ACTTTGAAGTTGATGGATCGATGTCCATGGGTTGCGCCTGGCTCTGACCTTGGTTAGAGTTGTTGGGCCTGTTGCTTGAACTTGGTCCGGGTTCGCTTTGTTGGGTTTTATTTTGGTTTTGTTTGAAGTGTGGATTTTTCTCGAAATATTTTCCCTGTTTTGGTATAGAATTATTTCCTTGCTTATTAGGCTCCCTCGAGTGGTTCCTATCTTCGATTGCTTTGGCATAGGTCGCAGCAAACATGCTTCTTTCTATGCTGTTCTCAGCCTCGCGAGCCAACGCTAAAGCGGATGGCAAATCTTTAGGCTGTGCCGGTATGACCAATGCTTTGAGAGGCCTCCTAAGGCCTGCCATAAAAGCATGCAGGACATCATTCCTAATTTCTGCATTGAGGATAGCTGCTGCCTGTTCATTATGTGTCATGACAATTTTGTTTGTAACGAGCGTGAGTGTTTTCTCGACTTCGTCATAATATTGCATTATGTCTAGGTCACCTTGCCTAACCAATTCTAATCGCTGTCTGAGGACACGCAGGGACATTTTGTCCGCGTATGTGCAATCAAGTCTAGCGATGATTGCATTGAAGTTGAGCACAGTATTGTGGGATGTGAGCACTGAGCGTGCTGTGCCACACACTTTGTTTTTTAATATAGCCACTGCTTGGTAATGGGTTTCACTTCCATCATATCGTTTGAAAATTTGATATGCCTCTACGGCAGCTTGTCTCCAAGACACATATTCTTCGTGGTCACCACTAAAATTCGGTACCGATTTAGCAACGTCTAGTCTAACTTCGCATCTAATGTTGGGATCGATCGTTACGCTTTCATATACTTGAACTTGAGGTGTTTCTACTCTAAGTGAGCTCACTTGATCTCTCAATGCTTGAATTTCGGCATGCATTTCATTTCTAATTTGTTGTTCGCGTGCTAGTGCGCTGCTGATAGCGTTGTCTATGAAAGCTTTAACTGTTTCTGGGTCCATTTCTGTTTGGTTTGATGTACGGGGTGCAAAGCCTAAACTATATTCTTCGTCGCTATCGATTTCCACTTTAATATTCCTATAGGTCCAACTCGTTAGCAGTTGGCGAAAATCCAACAATAAGAGAGAAAACAATCGAAATGACAATAAACCCGCACACAGTTTATATTTTATAGAGTTAGTTATGTAAAGCGGTTTGTATGGATACTTTGGTTTGAAATAATTCAACAGATTTATGTATTACGTCACCTTGCGCCTACGTTCACGCTGCCACTTTGTTTTATATTTATCGGAATTTTTAATTTTTTTCTTTTGTCACTGAACAGTCACTTACATGTTCTTATGGTGTGGGTGCTTAGATGTTAATCCCGTTGGGCGCCAGTTATTTAGGTCTATCCGCTCCAGTGGTCCTCGTAAGGGGATGCCGTCGGGTAGATCCAGGTTGTTAGTTGATAATGTAGATTAGGTTGAGATACAGTTAAGTATCAGATCACTGGCCTTGTGGCTCAGTGATATATTAATTAATAAGTCAAGATTATACGGCCAATTGCCGGAGCAATGTTTATTCAACGTGCGTTAGCTTACGTTATTGGAACAGAACTGATCGTGACAATGAAATGAATAAAAGACTAAAGCTAAGTACATAAAAGGGAAATATGAATCCAAACCTAAATACATATTATATAAAGATCACGCCATGGGCTGTCGGCCGCGCGGAGCTATGCCGGCATATTTATGTTAGCGCTACAATGTCTGCGATTGCGACATATAACGAAAACTGCTAATGCCCGCAATAGCATATTTTGCAGACGTTGCGTTCGCAGTGCAACCGAAATCCGATACGTTGATGTTCTAGCTGCGTGGGTTGCTCCGAACTTAACGCGAGGGTTGTTCGTTAACTTGGTTGTTAACTTGCACACGCATAGGAAAAATGCGTGCGCGTGGCGCTGCTGACATGTGCTTTTGCAAATTGACCAAACGTTTTGTTTAATAACTTCTGTTTTACTTAATGGATTTTAATGAAATTTTCAGCATATGATCTACATATCCTATTGGCTTGGTTGAGATGCAAACGCCTTCACATAGTGGCCCTAGTTCCAACAAAACTTAAATTTTAAGAATTTGGGGGAATTTGGAGCCGGTATCCAAAATCCAACAAAAATCAAAATTGCACAAAATATACATAAGACTAAATACAAAATTTGGCTCTAGCTCTTAAGACGTTCGAGATATAATTTATTTACTGCATTTCAATAAAGTTTTTATTCGATAACAATTAAATGCGAATATTTATCGAATATTTGAAACAAACTTGACCTGCGCGTGCTATACACGAACCTACAAAAAAAATGTCTAGCTCTTATAGATGCTGAGATCCACGCGTTCACACATACGGACAGACGGACGCACAGACAGACGGACAGGGCTCAATCGACTCGGCTTGTCGTCCTGATCAAGAATATATATACTTTATGGGGTCTGCCACGCCTCCTTCTGCCTGTTACATACATTTGCACAAAACCATTATACCCTGATTTCCCATTTTTAATGGGATCAGCGTAGAACAAGTATGGGCGCTCTAGTCGAGACTGCTCGACTTAGAAATACCGTAAACCCTGCGAAGACGTGCCATTTTTATTATTCTTATTATTAGAGGTCATCTCATCAGAAATCAGATGCTTCTATTTTTATGGATATTTAACTTACGCTTATCGATAATAACGAAATGACATGATATCTTTTTTTATATACATACAGTCTGTCAAGAAACACTTTACACAGTGGAAAAAATCTCAATTTTTTGACTTTATGTAAAAAAATAAAGAGTTTTTGTTTAATTTAACTAATTTTTTTTAATGGTTAACTGTTTAATAGGTATTTTTAAATCAAATTATAGAAAACAGAAACAAAAACAATAATGGTGAAACTTAAAAAACAACAAAAACTTAGATTACTCATATTTTACACTGTCAAGAAACTCTTTACACACTTCTTATATATTGTTCTAAATTTAAAATGTAAAACTAATTATAACTAATTTTGAAATACTTAATATTTAGTATGGCCCCCCTTAGCATTCTGTACATGTTGGAGTCTTCTTTTCATTGAGTTGACCAAGTTTTGAATATACTCTAGGGGTATCTTCTGCCACTCTTCCAGTACGAAAGCTTTTAGCTGTCCACGGTTGGTTGGATTCCTTTTTCCAACCTTTTGCTTTAAATAAGACCACGCATGTTCGATTGGGTTGAGATCTGGGCTTTGGGGTGGTGTATCCAAGACCTTTCCGCAGTTGTAAAGCAACCAATTACGTACATTATACTCCTTATGTTTTGGATCGTTGTCTTGGTAAAATTTAAAAGTTGGCCGATTTTCACTAATAAAGCCAAATTTGGTTAAAAAATATTGCTCGGCATTCATTGTGTTTTCAATGAATACCAATTCACCGACTCCTTGGCTGGAAATGCAGGCCCAAACCATAACCGACAGCTTTCCAAATTTGACTGTTGGAATGATATTCGCTTTGTCGTAAGCTTTAGAGACCTTTCGCCATACTTTGGGCGGACCTTCGTTGTAATACAACATTATTTTGGTCTCGTCGCAAAATATAACGTCCTTTCAATACTCCTCTGGGTGCCTAAGCATAGTAAGAGCAAAACAGAAGCGCTTTTCCACATTTGTCGACGACAGCAAGGGTTTCTTACGTGCCACTTTCGAAGAATACCCATGCCGTAGAATAGCCTGACGGATCGTTTCGTGGGACACATCCACACCACACTCTTCTTTGAGCTCCTTGGCAAGAGTTCTGGTCGAGATTTGGGGATTTGATTTGATCTTTCGCATCATAAGGCGGCTTGCCCGATCAGATATCTTTTTTTTTCGGCCACCCACACCCTTTGCCTCAAGTCTTCCCTCATTTCCGCGCGACTGAGAACGTTGTATATGGTTTTTCTTGACACAGAAAACATTTCCACTAATTCTGGAACTGATTTGCCCAACTGCCGATTGTAGAAGATCAATTGGACAACATCGAAGCTTAATCTCTTTCCGGGCATTATTAATCAAAATTTGTATTGCTTTTATATGTGTACTCAGCCAAATTTCGCACAAAGTGAAAAATAAACACAAAAATAGAGATGCATAGACAGATTCTAAAGGCATAGTTAACGGTAAAGCCCCGTTATTTCTTAGAATCAGAGCAAAACAGATGAAGAGAACAAAATGTGTAAAGAGTTTCTTGACAGTGTAAAATATGAGTAATCTAAGTTTTTGTTGTTTTTTAAGTTTCACCATTATTGTTTTTGTTTCTGTTTTCTATAATTTGATTTAAAAATACCTATTAAACAGGTAACCATTAAAAAAAATTAGTTAAATTAAACAAAAACTCTTTATTTTTTTACATAAAGTCAAAAAATTGAGATTTTTTCCACTGTGTAAAGTGTTTCTTGACAGACTGTATGTATGAGTATGTCGGAGACTAGGTAGTTGAAATGTATAGGCGCCTTGTAGGCGCGTGCTGGTAATATGTTTGAAGGTCACACTACATATGTATATATTGGTGCGTCTTCGAGCATTTTCGTAGAAACATAATTGCAACATAATGTGATTGGTTGCCTGTGTTTTGTAGTTTGGTAATGTCCCGTTTTGGCGAGGCGACAGCTACAGAAGCTGTCGCCGAGCGTGGTTCGATGGAAGACACAATGAATAAGAGACTGACACAGTTCAGTTGCATTTGAGATCTTAATGTATTCGAAACTCGCTGCGCTAAAGCAATGCCGAACAATAATAATATAAGTAACGCGACAACATATACTTTATGGGGTGCGACACGAATCCTTCTGCCTATTACATACAATTTTCTAAAATCACTATACCTAATTCCCAATCTCAGAAAATAAAAACTTGTCTCTTTGTATTCATTTTCCATACTTAACTCAATTTTACTTGGAATATCGGTTCATAAAACGAATACCAAATATTTTTTATATATCTGTTTGTTTTCTGTTTCCGCGTTTTTCAGCAGTGCGTGTGAGTATCAGATCGCACCCATCAATTCCTCCTTGACCTCAACGTTACCCATCGTTAATTCCAATTGTCAATGTGTAGATAGCAGCAGAACTATTACTGAAGACCTACAAGTTGTCAGTGAAGCGGAATGCAAATCGATGTCAAATTATAGTAGTAAGACTTCTGAATTTGACTTTTCTAATTTGCCCATGGCAGAATCGTTACCGAGACTACCGGAAACAACCAAGATTCCTTTACAAAGGGAGGATTACGAAATACTCGCTCCAGCAGTCAAGCAGCAACACTCGGTCTCAACAATACCTGTGAAGCAATTGTACAACGAGGGCGGCCCTCAGCTTTGCGCCATTGCAACCGCACCTTCAGTAAAAATTGATCGTCAGCTTAAATCAGACTTAGATGTAGTAAAAGAAGTTAAAATTGAACTAATCGAGTCTTCCGTCTACAACAGTGGTACTACAAAAAATTCTTATATGTGTAGCAAAGAAGAGTTAGGAATCGTTTCAAAGATAAAAATCAGCGCAGCGCAGTTAACTGTAGAAGCAAATGTTGAGTATCATATTCAGGAAAATGCAGATGTTGAGTTATCGCCCACTACTGATGAGTATCAAGAAGGCACGCATTTTGGAAGTAAAGACGTAGTTTTCGACTATGATATTATAGAAACAGAGAGATATCTAGGATATACACCGCCAGCACCGACGCCAGTGCCTTCTATGGCACCGCTCGCTGTACTGGAAGTCGATATAGTGGATGAAGAACCCGTTAATGAGTCTGCAGCGGCTAGACCACTAACGCCTGCATTAAGTAACGATGACGTTTGTCGTCGGCGTAAAAAACGCAATGCTACAGTTAAGAAGCTTAGCTCATTTGATGAACGAGATAAAATGAATGAAAAGCCTACCACCTCCGCGCAAACAACAACTGATGAAGCCGAACATAACGCAGTATGTCCCTGGGAAGATGAGTAAGTATTTCACATTTATATTATAAAATATTTTTGATCTAACGCTCAAGTCCTATTATTATAGAAACGTTAGCACCAATGATGGAACATTTGTGAAGACATATGCTACGTTGGGATATTTATGAATATTTATGAACCATCATAAAAATATGCCACAGCTTACAAAGTAACTTTCTTAATGTAATGGGAATTAAAATACATTATTACGTTTTCTTAACAAACTAATTTTATGTATATATGTATGGATACAAAAATGCATATCCGCTTCGCATGTTAAATAAAAACGGTTAAAAAAAAAGAACTAAACTTTTTTTCCTGAATAAGTACAAATATTACAACTGTTGAGCTTATATGTGCGTTTGTATGTGTTGGTTGCTATGTACTTAAGTATAAAATAAACGTAGACTGATTGGAATATGACCCAGGGTTCAGAATACCAAGTGGATTAAAATTTTAGGATTTCGAGATGCAAAAACAGAGAATTCAGTTAATACCACAATCCAAAGAAAAAAACCTAGAGAATATACAAACTAGGCGCCACTAATTGCAACCTACTCGCTCACGGCTCGAGCGGGCATAAAATATTTTTGGTCCATCAGGAGAGGAAGTCAATAGTAACTCAATAAGCGAATAATCTCTCAAACATTACAAGATATAGATATTTGCCGTTTTCCACGTTCCCTATTCACGCAGATATATAATATATATTTTTGTGATTATGCCAATTTTACTACGCTCCTTTTATATACAGAGAACAGCGCAAGCACGCGCATAGTCACGTTATCCGCTATATGGGCTTTACTTAATTACTTAATTCCTTCTTCCAAATAGACGTTTTAATAAAATTTTTTGAAAGTGATAATAATAATATTGGAAATAAATATTTGCAAATTCGATAATTAATTCACGCTAAGCTAAAGAACTAAATTAAATGATTATCGATAGTAAGGAATGAGTTATCGCAACAAAAAGATAAACTTTTGCACCATTTGGTATACAATAATATGTATTTAAAATTTCTACAGCTTGTGTGTTTTACAAAATTCCTGCTTTTACACGGAATGACAGAGAGATATAACTAGATCGATAGAGCTTGTAATCCTATTAAGAAATATATATACTTTATGATAAGTAAACTTTATGGTATGCCACGCCTTCTTCTGCCTATTACATACTTTTCACAAAACTATTATTAAATTCCTATTTTCAAACTGCCCGCCTTTATATCTCGACAAGTAAAGTGACGGAGAGTTCAATTTCTGGCGTCATCGGCTTTTTTCTTCTTCGTTTTACAAACATGAAGTGGAGATCTAAGTCGAGGGTATGCGCGTTGCTGAGTCCTGTGGCATTGATGCCGGCTTTCCTCCTTTTTTTGACAAACGATCTGTTGGGTATCAGAGTATCTCCTAGACGGGCATCGTATTTAGAGCTTTTTACTTTTTTTAATGTTAGCGGTTTATCCAAACAATTAGCAAAACTGAATCTTGGTGAAATGCATCAACTCTCATTTCTTAAACAGCCAAATACTCAATATTATCCGCAGCCAATCAGAACTTCCCACAAATGTCAATCCACGATCAATGTCACCAATGAAGGGCTATAAATACTATCTTAAGAATATTAGTATTTTTAGTGATTTTCCGAGCGTGGAGAACCTAAACAAATTTTTCAATTTAAAGAAAGATTAAGATCCGACTTGTTTACATAAACATTATTTAACTATCATCGCTCCGAAGAACAAAGAGAGAACATTCTTACCAATAAACCTCCCTAATCTTATACATAAATTACCTGTTGCCATGGTTTTTCACAGATAATTTGAGCAAACGTTTTCTTTATGGCTCTATACGCCATGGCTTAAAGTATTAAGGATACTCGTATTCGAAACTCGCTGCGCTAAAGCAATGCCGAACAATAATAATATGAGTAACGCGACAACATATACTTTATGGGGTGCGACACGAATCCCATTACATACAATTTTCTAAAATCACTATACCTAATTCCCAATCTCAGAAAATAAAAACTTGTCTCTTTGTATTCATTTTCCATACTTAACTCAATTTTACTTGGAATATCGTTTCATAAAACGAATACCAAATATTTTTTATATATCTGTTTGTTTTCTGTTTCCGCGTTTTTCAGCAGTGCGTGTGAGTATCAGATCGCACCCATGAATTCCTCCTTGACCTCAACGTTACCCATCGTTAATTCCAATTGTCAATGTGTAGATAGCAGCAGAATTATTACTGAAGACCTACAAGTTGTCAGTGAAGCGGAATGCAAATCGATGTCAAATTATAGTAGTAAGACTTCTGAATTTGACTTTTCTAATTTGCCCATGGCAGAATCGTTACCGAGACTACCGGAAACAACCAAGATTCCTTTACAAAGGAAGGATTACGAAATACTCGCTCCAGCAGTCAAGCAGCAACACTCGGTCTCAACAATACCTGTGAAGCAATTGTACAACGAGGGCGGCCCTCAGCTTTGCGCCATTGCAACCGCACCTTCAGTAAAAATTGATCGTCAGCTTAAATCAGACTTAGATGTAGTAAAAGAAGTTAAAATTGAACTAATCGAGTCTTCCGTCTACAACAACAGTGGTACTACATAAAATTCTTATATATGTAGCAAAGAAGAGTTAGGAATCGTTTCAAAGATAAAAATCAGCGCAGCGCAGTTAACTGTAGAAGCAAATGTTGAGTATCATATTCAAGAAAATGCAGATGTTGAGTTATCGCCCACTACTGATGAGTATCAAGAAGGCACGCATTTTGGAAGTAAAGACGTAGTTTTCGACTATGATATTATAGAAACAGAGAGATATCTAGGATATACACCGCCAGCACCGACGCCAGTGCCTTCTTTGGCACCGCTCGCTGTACTGGAAGTCGATATAGTGGATGAAGAACCCGGTAATGAGTCTGCAGCGGCTAGACCACTAACGCCTGCATTAAGTAACGATGACGTTTGTCGTCGGCGTAAAAAACGCAATGCTACAGTTAAGAAGCTTAGCTCATTTGATGAACGAGATAAAATGAATGAAAAGCCTACCACCTCCGCGCAAACAACAACTGATGAAGCCGAACATAACGCAGTATGTCCCTGGGAAGATGAGTAAGTATTTCACATTTATATTATAAAATATTTTTGATCTAACGCTCAAGTCCTATTATTATAGAAACGTTAGCACCAATGATGGAACATTTGTGAAGACATATGCTACGTTGGGATATTTATGAATATTTATGAACCATCATAAAAATATGCCACAGCTTACAAAGTAACTTTCTTAATGTAATGGGAATTAAAATACATGATTACGTTTTCTTAGAAAACTAATTTTATGTATATATGTATGGATACAAAAATGCATATCCGCTTCGCATGTTAAATAAAAACGGTTAAAAAAAAAGAACTAAACTTTTTTTCCTGAATAAGTACAAATATTACAACTGTTGAGCTTATATGTGCGTTTGTATGTGTTGGTTGCTATGTACTTAAGTATAAAATAAACGTAGACTGATTGGAATATGACCCAGGGTTCAGAATACCAAGTGGATTAAAATTTTAGGATTTCGAGATGCAAAAACAGAGAAATTCAGTTAATCCACAATCCAAAGAAAAAAACCCATAAGAATATAAGAATTAGGCGCTACTAATTGCAACCTACTCGCTCACGGCTTGAGCGGGCATAAAATATTTTTTGTCCATCCGGAGAGGAAGTCAATAGTAACTCAATGAGCGAATAATCTCTCAAACATTACAAGATATAGATATTTGCCGTTTTCCACGTTCCCTATTCTCGCAGATATATAATATATATTTTTGTGATTATGCCAATTTTACTACGCTCCTTTTATATACAGAGAACAGCGCAAGCACGCGCATAGTCACGTTATCCGCTATATGGGCTTTACTTAATTACTTAATTCCTTCTTCGAGATAGACATTTTAATAAAATTTTTTGAAAGTGATAATAATATTGGAAATAAATATTTGCAAATTCCATAATTAATTCACGCTAAGCTAAAGAACTAAATTAAATGATTATCGATTGTAAGGAATGAGTTATCGCAACAAAAAGATAAACTTTTGCACCATTTGGTATACAATAATATGTATTTAAAATTTCTTCAGCTTGTGTGTTTTATAAAATTCCTGCTTTTACATGGAATGACAGAGAGATATAACTAGATCGATAGAGCTTGTAATCCTATTAAGAAATATATATACTTTATGATAAGTAAACTTTATGGTATGCCACGCCTTCTTCTGCCTATTACATTTCACAAAACTATTATTAAATTCCTATTTTCAAAGTGCCCGCCTTTATATCTCGACAAGTCAGGGACGGAGAGTTCAATTTCTGGCGTCATCGGCTTTTTTCTTCTTCGTTTTACAAACATGAAGTGGAGATCTAAGTCGAGGATGCGCGTTGCTGAGTCCTGTGGCATTGATGCCGGCTTTCCTTCTTTTTTTGACAAACATGTAATTTCTTTCGGAAACTGCGAGCTCGAACAATTTTATAAGGTTATTCTAGATGTAAGCTATGGAGTACATTTAAAAACGATCAGTTGGGTATCAGAGTATCTCCTAGATGGGCATCGTATTAAGAGCTTTTTTACTTTTTTTTTTAATGTTAGCGGTTTATCCAAACAATTAGCAAAACTGAATCTTGGTGAAATGCATCAACTCTCATTTCTTAAACAGCCAAATACTCAATATTATCCGCAGCCAATCAGAACTTCCCACAAATGTCAATCCACGATCAATGTCACCAATGAAGGGCTATAAATACTATCTTAAGAATATTAGTATTTTTAGTGATTTTCCTAGCGTGGAGAACTTAAACAAATTTTCCAATTTAAAGAAAGATTAAGATCCGACTTGTTTACATAAACATTATTTAACTATCATCGCTCCGAAGAACAAAGAGAGAACATTCTTACCAATAAACCTCCCTAATCTTATACATAAATTACCTGTTGCCATGGTTTTTCACAGATAATTTGAGCAAACGTTTTCTTTATGGCTCTATACGCCATGGCTTAAAGTATTAAGGATACTCGTATTCGAAACTCGCTGCGCTAAAGCAATGCCGAACAATAATAATATGAGTAACGCGACAACATATACTTTATGGGGTGCGACACGAATCCTTCTGCCTATTACATACAATTTTCTAAAATCACTATACCTAATTCCCAATCTCAGAAAATAAAAACTTGTCTCTTTGTATTCATTTTCCATACTTAACTCAATTTTACTTGGAATATCGTTTCATAAAACGAATACCAAATATTTTTTATATATCTGTTTGTTTTCTGTTTCCGCGTTTTTCAGCAGTGCGTGTGAGTATCAGATCGCACCCATGAATTCCTCCTTGACCTCAACGTTACCCATCGTTAATTCCAATTGTCAATGTGTAGATAGCAGCAGAATTATTACTGAAGACCTACAAGTTGTCAGTGAAGCGGAATGCAAATCGATGTCAAATTATAGTAGTAAGACTTCTGAATTTGACTTTTCTAATTTGCCCATGGCAGAATCGTTACCGAGACTACCGGAAACAACTAAGATTCCTTTACAAAGGAAGGATTACGACATACGCGCTCCAGCAGTCAAGCAGCAACACTCGGTCTCAACAATACCTGTGAAGCAATTGTACAACGAGGGCGGCCCTCAGCTTTGTGCCATTGCAACCGCACCTTCAGTAAAAATTGACCGTCAGCTTAAATCAGACTTAGATGTAGTAAAAGAAGTTAAAATTGAACTAATCGAGTCTTCCGTCTACAACAGTGGTACTACAAAAAATTCTTATATGTGTAGCAAAGAAGAGTTAGGAATCGTTTCAAAGATAAAAATCAGCGCAGCGCAGTTAACTGTAGAAGCAAATGTTGAGTATCATATTCAGGAAAATGCAGATGTTGAGTTATCGCCCACTACTGATGAGTATCAAGAAGGCACGCATTTTGGAAGTAAAGACGTAGTTTTCGACTATGATATTATAGAAACAGAGAGATATCTAGGATATACACCGCCAGCACCGACGCCAGTGCCTTCTATGGCACCGCTCGCTGTACTGGAAGTCGATATAGTGGATGAAGAACCCGTTAATGAGTCTGCAGCGGCTAGACCACTAACGCCTGTATTAAGTAACGATGACGTTTGTCGTCGGCGTAAAAATCGCAATGCTACAGTTAAGAAGCTTAGCTCATTTGATGAACGAGATAAAATGAATGAAAAGCCTACCACCTCCGCGCAAACAACAACTGATGAAGCCGAACATAACGCAGTATGTCCCTGGGAAGATGAGTAAGTATTTCACATTTATATTATAAAATATTTTTGATCTAACGCTCAAGTCCTATTATTATAGAAACGTTAGCACCAATGATGGAACATTTGTGAAGACATATGCTACGTTGGGATATTTATGAATAAAACAATCATAAAAATATGCCACAGCTTACAAAGTAACTTTCTTAATGTAATGGGAATTAAAATACATGATTACGTTTTCTTAACAAACTAATTCTATGTATATATGTATGGATACAAAAATGCATATCCGCTTCGCATGTTAAAAAAACGGTTAAAAAAAAAGAACTAAACTTTTTTTCCTGAATAAGTACAAATATTATAACTGTTGAGCTTATATGTGCGTTTGTATGTGTTGGTTGCTATGCACTTAAGTATAAAATAAACGTAGACCGATTGGAATATGACCCAGGGTTCAGAATACCAAGTGGATTAAAATTTTAGGATTTCGAGATGCAAAAACAAAGAATTCAGTTAATACCACAATCCAAAGAAAAAAACCTAGAGAATATACAAACTAGGCGCCACTAATTGCAACCTACTCGCTCACGGCTCGAGCGGGCATAAAATATTTTTTGTCCATCCGGAGAGGAAGTCAATAGTAACTCAATGAGCGAATAATCTCTCAAACATTACAAGATATAGATATTTGCCGTTTTCCACGTTCCCTATTCTCGCAGATATATAATATATATTTTTGTGATTATGCCAATTTTACTACGCTCCATTTATATACAGAGAACAGCGCAAGTACGCGCATAGTCACGTTATCCGCTATATGGGCTTTACTTAATTACTTAATTCCTTCTTCCAGATAGACATTTTAATAAAATTTTTTGAAAGTGATAATAATATTGGAAATAAATATTTGCAAATTCCATAATTCACGCTAAGCTAAAGAACTAAATTAAATGATTATCGATTGTAAGGAATGAGTTATCGCAACAAAAAGATAAACTTTTGCACCATTTGGTATACAATAATATGTATTTAAAATTTCTTCAGCTTGTGTGTTTTACAAAATTCCTGCTTTTACATGGAATGACAGAGGGATATAACTAGATCGATAGAGCTTGTAATCCTATTAAGAAATATATATACTTTATGATAAGTAAACTTTATGGTATGCCACGCCTTCTTCTGCCTATTACCTACTTTTCACAAAACTATTATTAAATTCCTATTTTCAAAGTGCCCGCATTTATATCTCGACAAGTCAGGGACGGAGAGTTCAATTTCTGGCGTCATCGGCTTTTTTCTTCTTCGTTTTACAAACATGAAGTGGAGATCTAAGTCGAGGGTATGCGCGTTGCTGAGTCCTGTGGCATTGATGCCGGCTTTCCTTCTTTTTTTGACAAACATGTAATTTCTTTCGGAAACTGCGAGCTCGAACAATTTTATAAGGTTATTCTAGATGTAAGCTATGGAGTACATTTAAAAACGATCTGTTTGGTATCAGAGTATCTCCTAGACGGGCATCGTATTTAGAGCTTTTTTACTTTTTTTTAATGTTAGCGGCTTATCCAAACAATTAGCAAAACTGAATCTTGGTGAAATGCATCAACTCTCATTTCTTAAACAGCCAAATACTCAATATTATCCGCAGCCAATCAGAACTTCCCACAAATGTCAATCCACGATCAATGTCACCAATGAAGGGCTATAAATACTATCTTAAGAATATTAGTATTTTTAGTGATTTTCCGAGCGTGGAGAACCTAAACAAATTTTTCAATTTAAAGAAAGATTAAGATCCGACTTGTTTACATAAACATTATTTAACTATCATCGCTCCGAAGAACAAAGAGAGAACATTCTTACCAATAAACCTCCCTAATCTTATACATAAATTACCTGTTGCCATGGTTTTTCACAGATAATTTGAGCAAACGTTTTCTTTATGGCTCTATACGCCATGGCTTAATGTATTAAGGATACTCGTATGCTAGTCGGTGCTCAATCGCAGTCCACTTGAAATTATCAACATTGTAAATAATGAGACCCGAATAATGTGGGTTTTCCTAACATGTATATTTGATTGATTAGACAATATATATGGCGCAGTCGGTAGGATAGTAAACCATGAATTCTATCCGAGCTATAATTATTAATTGCCGATTTCCGTCAAAATCCTCTGGACTGATCGAACATCACTGCAAAGACATAACTTATATATGGGCCTAACATAACATTAACTTGATATGTGAACAAAAAAGCCAGAAAATTCAGAACTGACAATCTCACTAAAAGTGCTCGTAAATAAAATAGCACGTAAGAAAGCTCTAGTCTAGGGGGTGCCCGACTTGGAGACAACTCCATCCGAATTGCGTTATAAAATACACTCCATAGCTTAGTATTAGGCATAAACGTATACAAATTTTTGAGATTGGATTACAAAATTTAAATAACAAGTTTGACAGAACTAACAAATAAAATAGATCCAGTCACATAGGCCCAACTATGAGGTAACCTGAACTCCGTCCAATCTACAAATTTTTATATTTTCTATAACTTAGATACAAAACATAAAAAACTGTAGGACACAAAGACTCAAGCCAACATCTCCTAATCAATACGCAGCAACTCTACCAACACCGAAACTTCAAATTTAACAAATAACAAGATTTAAGATACCCTAAACCAAATCCAATCTTTATTTTTTAATATTTTCCATGGCTTCTATTGAGCACTAAAAACAAAACAAATAAAATCCTACCGATCGTCACCTGGCATTACACACAGAGCTTAGAGAAGAATGCACGCATTAAAATGTATGTGCGCATATGCACAGAAAAAATGCGTACGCTTTAAGCTGCTTGCCACGTGCTTTTGCAAATTGACCAAACAATTTGTTTAATAAATTCTGATTTACTTAACTGATTTTATTTAAATTGTCAGTATATGGTTTACATATTCTATCGGCGAACTTGTCAGCTAAGTAAAAATTCAAACACCTTTATATATTGACTCTATTTCCAACTAAACTTAAGTTTAAAGAATTCGAGGAAACTTGGAGCCAGTATCCAAGATATTGACAAAATCAAAATTGTATAAAATATATATAAAACTAAATACAAAATTTGGAGGCATAAGCTCATAAGCCGTACGAGATATAATTTAATAACTGTGTTTTGATCATGTTTTTAAACATGAATCGTAAATAGGTATCGATTATTTAAGACAAACTAAGCGCGCGTTCTATAAACATACCAACAAAAAATTAAAGTCATTAGTTCTTATAAGTTCTGAGATTGAAACGTTCCTATGAACGGACAGGGCTAAGATGCCTCGTCTTCTGCTACATGTTACGTACTTTTCAATAATGGTTTTAAGGTATAATTATCAATCATTCTATAGCGAAATATAATTGTATAAATATAAATATATATAATTGTAATAAAACAATACTGTTGAGATTCGAAATAATAAATTTAATAAAAAAACAAAAATTTTTTGTCTATCTGTTTTCGTACCTAAGTTCTATGTAACTTTTAAAAAAAAATTGCGAATGAAAATATAAGTAAGAGCGCACTATATGACAAAGCAACGCTGTACGCTAACAAAGCTATGTATAGTAGATTTCGGATTAGCAATAATGTTTTGCGGAAGGTCCCACCTCGAGGTACATATCCTAGGAGGCGATCAATATTTTTTTGATTCTTTAGTAAATGAGCGAACTTATAAGTACTCGAACCATTTTATGAGCCCAACAGATTTGTTTGTCTTGCGTAGCCTCGTTCCGACAATGTATTAGAGTAAAAGAAATGAAAAAGAAAACACGTGCTGATCCTCTGTATGCATGGTCTGGGCTTAATTGCGAAGCTTAAGTCACTCTTAAATAAAAATTACGACAAAGACATATTTAATGCTGAGATGTTTAATTTAATAAATATGCTACGACATATATACAACTATAACAATAACCAATATCCACATTTATAATAACTTGCATATGTATATCGATGTACTTAATCTATACGATTGACACAATACCACAAACATTTTTTATTAAGTATACTAAAACCGAACAAGAAACACCAATAGAAGAAATATAACTTCTAAATACTATGAACAAAATCCTTTACTATACCAACCAGGGAACAAGAGTTTTTTAAAAGATGGGAAAATCATATATCAGAGACTTCATATATATGCACACGCATTTAACCATAAGCCAAAGCTTGGTGACTTTAGTAAACAAACAAGCATTTGCGATAACACCAGTGAACTACTAACAAACTGGGCCAATAAATCATCCCACAAAACGTTACTAACGCACACACAACTAGCTATAAATAACAAAGTATGAAAATTTAATCTTCAGTCATCTTAAGGCTGAAAATTCTTAAGCCTATTTTTTTTTAAGTTTAAATAAAGTGCAGACTCCGACAAAGCCAAATATTAAAATGTTTTTTATTTTTAATTGGAATTGCATAAAATATTTATATGTATACATAATAAATAGCCATGAATGTCTGCGTTAATTGAACGTCTCATTTATGCTCGATCTACGAGCGCCGGTTGATCATGATTACGCCGATGACAGCAAGATGTTCTGGCATGAACATACTAGATTTTAGGATTCTTAACGCACTCAACGACTAGCACGCAATGCAATAGGAAAAGATCAAATTACATGTTTAGAATCTAAAATTAGACATACCAACGATAAGGCTTACACACTCAGCAATAGATAAGCCAGATTTAAGGGATGAAATACGCATGAGCACGAGTGTAAGAACCTTAACTCAAACGAATAAAGATAATTACAGAACTGAACATCACCACATCAAGTGTATCAAAATTGGTCCTTCGAGCCGGAGAATACAAGACTTAATAACATCAATTCGTAAATGGAATATAGAGAATTTGGAACGAATGACCGCAAACTCTTTACAAATATAAATAGCTTACAAAGCTATGCTTTATATGCTTATCTTTCGAAATAGTCCGAATCTAAGCGGATTGGAAATTGAGTGTCTCTAGTCTGTATTTGTTGAGTTACAGAAATAACTTGAAGTAGTTGTAATTGAAAGTAATTTAGTTTTCGTAAGTATTCGTTGTTAGTCCAGTGAACAGTTTGAAAAGCGTACATATTGTAGATGAGTACAGCATTATT